TGGGGAGCACCCCGCACTGCATGGGCTGGGGTTGGTGCTCTAGGCCACCGGTGTCACGTGGGCTTGAGAAGGGCTTTCAGCAAGTCTGCAGCCTTGACAGACAGGCACTGTGGCCAGGGCTTTTCTCTGTGCCTGAGGTATTTCGCATCCTGTGAGATGTGGGACCCTGGACCTCATCGGACAAGAACAGTTGTGCCAGTTCAGGGACGTGAGCAGCCTTTGCAGCGTCTGCACGTTTTTTGTCTGCAGATATTGTCAATGCTGACAAGATGTCGGGGAGGAGCAGGAAGTACAAGATTATCTTCAGCCCCCAAAAGGTTAGTCTGACTGCACTCTGCTGCCAGTTACCCCATCACTCCATGTCTACCCAGCCTTCGTGCCCTCCTCCCCTTCTACAGACACCAGAAGTTCTTTGTTTCTAACCCAGAAATGTTTAATTAAAGTGAAATGTTGAGATTCCTGGGAACGAGCTGATCCCTTTCATTGCCAGAGCTTTTCTGCACACTCAGAGCCTGGCTGGGCCCTGAAGGTCTCTCCTTCTCTTGCAGTTTTATGCTTGCGAGATGGTGCTAGAGGAAGAGGGAGTCTTTGGTGGTGAGTGCAGCTGTGGTGCCTGCCCCTTCCCCTCCCCGAGGGCTAGCTCGCAGTAGCTCTGGTGCTACAGAATCTCAGCTGAATCCCAGTACTGGGATCCCTGTGCTGGCAGGGATGGGAGTGTGGGCAGGAACCACAGATTTCCTTGAGCCTGGCCGCCTGCCCGCAGGCAGGTGTGTGCACACCACAGCCTTGACGCCTCTCCTCAATCTTCTGTGAGGAGGGAGGGTCCTGCCACAGATCCCTGTGGAAAGGCCCCATCTCTCTGCTCCCCGCACCCTTGTTTGCAGGGCTGTTGTGATTCTTGGGGCTGTTTCTGCCAAGGGCTGGGTAACTGTCACCTTTCCCTATCCCAAACTCAGATGTCACCTGCGATGAATGGTCCTTCTATCTGCTCCCCCTGGACGAAGACATCATCAGCATGGAGCTGCCCGAGTTCTTTCGCGACTACTTCTTGGTCAGTGGGATGATGCTGCCGGGATGCTGCCCTGCAGGGTGGCAGCTTTTCCCCTGCTCATCTATTGGGCTTGGGACAGAAGAGCTTTGTTCAGAGAGCTGATGTGTGACGTCCTGCTCAGTACTCTCAGCCCTTGCCACAGGCCCTTGTCTGCTGTCCCGGGGTGGCTTTTGCCAGGGATGGCTGCTCTGACAGGCTGTGGTGCCTCCCTTCCTCTGCACACAGCCCCTCCTGTGCTGGCCCCTCCTCTGCTCCCTCCCAGCAGCTTTAGGTCATCCCAGCACGTTTCTGTGCCTGTTCCTCCTGGAAGTGCCAAGCCCAGGGCCCGGTCTGTCTCCAGCTGAGTCCCCTGACGTGGCAGTTGTTTCCCCACCAGCCTGCCCAACATCTCGTGGTCCCTGCAGGAGGGAGATCACCGCTGGATCAACTCTGTCGCTCGAGCCCTGCAGTTACTGAACTCCCTGTATGGGCCTTTCGGCAAGGCCTACGGGATCGGCAGGTGTGCTAAGGTACAGCCCATGCTGCTGGGCTCAGCTGGCGTGCAGGGAAGCCTCTCTGGTCCCCATAAGGGGTACAGCTCACAGGGAGTCCAACCCCATCAGCCGTGTGGCATCATGTCGCTGTAGAGGTAGCACTGCACTGCTGCCTCTTTGCAGGCAGCTTCACGGGCTCAGCAGGTTGCTAGGTTGGGGGGGGACCCTGCCATCCTGTATCTCCCAGCCAGCACTGCGTGTGCTGAGGTTGGGCAGGGGGAGTCTCGGCAGCAGCGTCTGCTGCTCATTGGGGTGTTGCAGAGCACCCTGTGCTCTGGAAGGGGAAGTGCTTGTGCCCAGCCTTGTCCGGCGAGCCCCAGGCCTGCTGCAGCCGGTTTTTCCTGTGGGATGCCTTGGCCCATGTCCTGGCTGGCCCAGCATGGTGGGTCGCAAGGGCCTGGTGCTGGGGCAGGCAGTGGCCCTTGACGGGAGCCTGGGGTTGCTCCCCTGGGTCCTGACATGCTCTGCCCATCACAGATGAGCTATGAGCTGTGGCGGGACCTGGAGGAAGAGAGCGAGGGCGATGGCCAGGGCAGGAAGCCCGAGATTGGCAATGTCTTCCTCATGGACAGAGGTAGGCTGGAGTGGTTGGCCAAGGAGGAGCAGTTTGGGCTGGCAGGGTGGCCCGGGGCAGGAAGATCCGAGCCTGTGCTGGCTGCAGGGAGCAGCAGGAGGCACAGGGTGGCGGGCTGCGGTGGTTGAGGCTGGGCAGGGGAGGAGTGGGAGGGCAGCCTGGGCACCAGCTCTTGGCTCTCGTTGCAGACACGGACTATGTGACAGCGCTGTGCTCCCAGGTGGTGTACGAGGGGCTGGTGGACGACACCTTCCGCATCAAGTGCGGTAGGTCGCTGGGGAACGCGACAGGGCAGCACGGGGCTCTGCGCCCATGTAGCCAGAGTCTCCAGGGTTTGTGCCTGGCACTGTCAGACCCAGGGCCCAGGTCCTGCAGCCGAGGATGTTCCCCAGAGAGATAGCCCCGATGTTGGGTGCTGCTGGAGGCAGTTCATGAGGACGGCCCTCGGTCTGACCAAGCAGCTGGGCAGCCATCCCCTGTCTCTGCTGCTTTTTGCAGCAGGGCCAGTGTGCGTGTGGGATGTCACTATTGCTGGGGCAAAGCAGCTCTTCATCCTTCTCTGCAGGGAGCGTGGATTTTGGGCCAGACGTCACCTCTTCTGACAAGGGTATTAAGGTGCTGCTCAATGCCCAGGACAAAGTGAGTTCTCGCGTGCCTTGGAGGAAGCAAGTCCCCCCATGCTCTGTGCCCAGGTGGCACCGGGAGGAGGCTGAGCGGCACATTTCCTCCTCTAAGCCTGAGCAGGGAGCAGCTGGGTGCTGCTTGGCCTTGGAGCACAGGTTGGGATGGGTTGGGACATGGAGACTGGAGAAATGTGGTCTTCAGGCACAGCACAGCTTCTGTAGTCGGCAGAGTCCCTGCATGCAGGGGTGTGTTGTGCTCGCCAGTCGGTATTTTGGGGCACTGACTGCTCCAGCAGGGATACCACCTCACCTGCTGCAGTTCAGGCTGCAGCCAAGCGTCAGCTCCGGGTGCTGCGGTGCTGGGGGCTGTGGCTGGCCAGGCCCCGTGCTAGCACGGGAGAGCATGGCATGTGCCTGGCACCAACTGCTGCGGTGCTCTCTGCAGGTCTTCAGCCAGATTCGGAACGAGCACTTCTCCAGCGTGTTTGGCTTCCTGAGCCAGAAGTCACGTAACCTGCAGGCACAGTACGATGTGAGTATCGCCCTGGTGTGCAGGAAGCTGACGGTGCCATCGCTCCACAGCTAGGTCACCTCCCCGGATGCTCTTTCTTCCGCAGCGGCGCCGTGGCATGGACATCAAGCAGATGAAGAACTTTGTCTCCCAGGAACTGAAGGGACTAAAGCAAGAGCATCGCCTGCTAAGCCTGCGTAGGAGCCGGGGCTGGGATGGCGGGGAGGGAGAGGCCCTCGGCTGCTGCAGCGGGTGCCTGGGCTCCCTAGGAAAGCCGGGAGGGTTGAAGGGCCCTGCTATTCCCCAGGAGGGGCAGATGATCTGAGCAGTGGGCAAGGCAGCAGAGGCCATTAGCATGCGCAAGTGTGTGTAGTGGGGCTGGGGCTGGGTTGACAAGCTATATGCAGAGCTTGTTACTCCTCCAAAGCGGCCATCTCTCTTGACTATGCAGATATTGGTGCCTGCGAGTCCATCATGAAAAAGAAAACCAAGCAGGACTTCCAGGAGATGATCAAGACTGAACACGGTGAGTGCTGTTCCCTGTCCCACACCTGTTGCTATCCCCATCCCAGTCCTCGCTCCCTGACCCTCCACTCCGACCCGTGGCCCCACTTGCCCCAGGCCTGGGCAGCCTCACACCTGGCTGGCCTCTGTGTGACCACAGTCCTTCCAGTCCATTTGTATTGGGGTGGGTCTTCACATCCTAAATAGGGTCAAGCCACATCCTCAGAGGGCTGGTGCGTGGTGGGGTAGGAGGCTCAGCATCGCGAGCCTTCCCCATTCCCTGGGGCTCAGGGAGGGAGGCTGAGCCTGGACTGCAGCTCAGTTAGCTGGTGAAAGCCCTGGGGGTTGGCGAAGTGACGCTGCCTCTTCCCCTGCCATAGCTCTGCTGGAGGGCTTCGACATCCGTGAGAGCACGAGCTTCATAGAGGAGCATATTGACCGTCAGGTGAGACCGTGCCGAGCCGGAGGGACAGGGTGCTCTGGGCGCCCCGTCCCGCTGCGGGAGAGGTGGGGGGTGCAGGCAGCTCATGGCCCACTCCCACACAGGTGTCCCCCATTGAGAGCCTGCGCCTGATGTGTCTCCTGTCCATCACGGAGAACGGTGAGGTGTCTGGCTCTGCTGGGTAGGGAGGGGCAGCACCAGGGCCTTCCAGCCTTGGCACACAGCTCACCATGGTGCTCCCCACAGGTCTCATCCCCAAAGACTACCGCTCCCTGAAAACCCAGTACCTGCAGGTGAGTGTCTGGGGGCTCACAGCAGAGCAAACGTTGCTTCAGACTGGGCTTCCCCTCCCTGCTGCTGCTCTCCACGAGGTGCCGGGCAGCCGCGCTCCCCAGGGATGCTCGGGCTGTCTCTGCAGGACAGCCCCTGCCTCCACAGGCTCCGCACGAGCCCTGAGCTCTGCCTGCCTCTGCCCTTCACCTGCTGGGTTGCTCTAAGCAGCCTGTACCTCTCCACGGAGATGGTACCCTGCCGCCTTCCCATGCTCGCAGCTGGGGCTTCGCACTGATCCGGCTGTCCCCTTCCCCAGAGCTACGGGCCTGAGCACTTGCTGACCTTCCACAACCTCAAGCGCATCGGGCTGCTGACCGAGCAGTCAGCTGGAGAGACCCTGACTGCTGTGGAGAGCAAAGTCAGCAAGCTGGTGACGGATCGTGCTGCAGGTGAGAGCCAGCCCTCTCTGCCCCGGGAGCCTGGGCTGTGCAGAGCCCTGGAGCAGAGACCTGTCCCGTTGGGAGCTGCTGCTTCAGAGCTGGCTGGAAGCACGTGGCAAATGTGGA